CATCAACTGACAGTAAGGAAGCATCTCATAGACCTAGACAGAAACTCGGTGAGGATAAAAGAAGAGATTTACCAGGAAGCAGGAAACTCCACAAAGACAGAGGCAGACACTTAAGACAGAGGTGGGAATTTTTTTAAAGTCTATGATAATAAAAACTGCAATGTGTAAATCTCAAGGCTGTTTCCAGCTGGGCCAATCCACTCCTCCTTCGGTGTGTTATATTCCTTTAATGAACTCCCTGCTTGCTTCACTAATTGTCTCTGGGCTGAATTGTTTCTCTCAAGAGAACAAGAAACAAGGATCTTATATATGCTGAATTACATTAATGTAATTAATGAATGTTTGAATTCAATAGTTGCCATAATGTCCAAATTTTTTTCAGAGAAGGTGACCAAGAACTTGGATAAAGTTAGATGACTGAAAATAAAAACTGTACCCCATGAACTGCATCCTCTAAAACAAATCTCAAATTCCTCAAGACTGCAATATGAATCTCAACAAAAAAAGATAATTGCAGATTTTGAATCTACACAGATCATTCTAATATTTTTCCAACACTTAACATTTACCCTCAAAAATAGAAGATTTAGCATAAAAAATAAGTTTTGCTAAGTCGTAGAAAACTATATGTAAAATTCTTCATCTACCATTAAGTCTTTAAAATTTTATTTTGAAGGTATGTTTTAAGAGATTTCAAAATTCTGATGTGTTTCTTCATATGGTGCTTACAATATGCAACCCACTTATATTTATGCTTTAATATATATTAAGGTATGTTACATTTAACACACTTTGTGTTCCAATCTCATACAATTTTTCTTCAACAGAAAAACAATGCTTACTTAATCATCTTACATAAGAACAGTGAATTACTCTTACGTCAATTAAGTGATCTGAATGTTGCATTGATAAGCTATAATCTCAAACACCCCAGTTAAAAACAATTTATTACATTAAAAATTCCAAATATCTCATCAGAGCCTAGAAAGTCCAAGTGAAATTACATGGCATGAAGAGAACACTGGGAAACTGTAGCCATAACACAAAGAAGAGGAGTGAAGCATACATAGCTGGGGATAAACACATGAAGACATCAGAAAACTAAACATAATTAGAAAATAAAAACAGGCCAGGCACAGTGGCTGATGCCTGTAATCCCAGTACTTTTGGAAGCCAAGGTGGGTGGACCACGAGGTCAAGAGATTGAGACCATTCTGGCCAACATGGTGAAACCCTGCCTCTGCTAAAACCACAAAAATTAGCTGGGCATGGTGGTGTGCACTTGTAGTCCCAGCTACTTGGGAGGCTGAGGCAGGAGAATCGCTTGAACCCGGGAGGTGGAGATTGCAGTGAGCCAAGATCGTCCCATTGCACTTCAGCCTGGCGACCAAGTGAGACTCCGTCTCAAAAAAAAAAAAAAAAATTATATATATTTTTATATATATGGAAAATGAAATGTTCCAATAAAATATAACTTTATACACATTGTGAAATTACATCTAAAAAGTATTTTCTGTGCACTAGTTTTTTTAAAAAAATTCTTATAATTTCTGACCAGCTCACATACTTTATGAAGTTTTAAAAAAAAGAATCAGAAACAAGAAAAGTATACCTCTAGCATGAGCACCACATAAAAACAGGGACTTTTCATGGGGAGATTCTCAACAATGATCCATTAGATTTTACAGTAATTACATAAAAATAAGAAAATATAGATTTTAATTCAGCATGTTTTAGGTTTCTAGATTTCTAGTAAATTATCCACAGTATTAATAGAAACTTCTTTGTTCCAATATTGCTATTTTCTTTGGAAAATAGGTACAAACTCTCATGCAAACACAATTGCTTGCTTCATAATTTTCTTACACCCAAGGTTTATCTTTAGAGCACAACATTTATATATTTAACTCCATGTAAATTAAAACTAGAAGTCTGTATGTTTGCAGACATGATGCATGTTCAAAGATAAATAGGAAACATTTTTGAAAACCATTCAGGACTCAGGAATGTATGAATTATAATTATATTCTGATATAACTATTACAATCATAAAATGACCTGTAGTAGAAAAAAATTGTACATTTGAAAATAATTGAAGTGTATAATTAGATTGTAGGTAATATAAAAGATAAATGCTGGAGAAACCCCATCTCTACTAAAAATACAAAATTAGCCAGGCATGGTGGCACATGCCTGTGATCCCAGCTACTCGAGAGGCTGATTTAGGAGAATTGCTTGAACCTGGGAGGCGGAGATTGCAGTGAGCCAAGATTGCGCCACTGCACTCTGGCCTGGGCAACGAGAGCGAAACTTTGTCTCCAAAAAAAAAAAAAAAAAGCTTAAGACAATGAATAACTCATTTACTCTAATATCATTATTACATATTGTATGCCTGTATCAAAATAACCCAATATACCATAAATATATACTTATACTATGTAGCCACAAAAAAATTTAAAAAATTTAAATAAAATAAAAATGCAACATGGGAACAATATTCATTTTACTTGCTGTTTAAAGCCATTGGAAAAAGAGACAGAAATGTCATTCAGCTATGTTACCAGATAGTACATTGTTAGCATCTCTTACCTACACCCTTGAGTAAGGTGGGATAGGTGAAAGTTGCTGGCATAATACATCATTCAAGGCACAATAACTTCTACACATTAACAAATTTATTTAAAAAACTAAGGCTGGGTGCGATGGCTCATGCCTGCAATCCCAGCATGTTGGGAAACTGAAGTGGGTGGATCACAAGGTCAAGAGCTCAAGACCAGCCTGGTTAATATGCTGAAACCCGCTCTCTACTAATAATACAACAATTAGCGGGGCGTGGTGGTGTATGCCTGTAATCCCAGCTACTCGGAAAGCTGAGGCAAGAGAATCACTTGAACCTGGGAGGTGGAGGTTGCAATGAGCCAAGATCATGCCACTGCACTCCAACCTGGGCAATAAGTGAGACTCTGTCACGAAAAAAAATTAAGTTCGCACATGATCTTAAAAGAGAATTTTAAAATTTACAGCATTTTATTAATTTATTACATAAATGTACAATTGGTAAAACAATTTACTACTAAAATTGAGATTGTTTCTCACTATAATGCAAAATGTTACTCTGAACACCTACCTCATGCATATCACTCTAAGTTAATCACAAAAAGCCTCACTGCTTAGATTTTCCTCAGGCATCTTTCATGTCTGTTCTTTCTCTTTCATTTTCATGTAAAAGTTCATGAATACTGCCCACCTAATGGAATTTCTAATATCTCTGATGCAGCAATAATTCATCACATGCTTTCACATAAATGAGAACGTTGAAATACTATAATTTTGGATTTGAATTATTTGCTTTTCAAAAAATCTATATTTTTTCAAGTAAAAAAATACTTTGAATGAAATGTCTTCAAAAATCTTCTTTTCAACTTACATATGCAGATTTTTTTTTTTTTTTTTTTTTTTTTTTTAGGTAGAGTCTTCCTCTGTTGCCCAGGCTGGAGTGCGGTGGTGTAATCTCAGCTCACTGCAAGCTCTGCCTCCTGGGTTCAAGTCATTCTCCTGCCTCAGCCTCCTGAGTAGCTGGGACTACAGGCGCCCGCCACCACGCCCAGCTAATTTTTGTATTTTTAGTAGAGATGGGGTTTCACTGTGTTAGCCAGGATGGTCTCGGTCTCCTGACCTCGTGATCCGCCTGCCTCAGCCTCCCAAAGTGCTGGGATTACAGGCATGAGTCACCGCACTCGGCCCACCAAGAAAGTTTCTAACAGGTTCAACTTTGGATTTTTGTACACTTAATATTCTGATTCCTTGTAAAGTGTTAGTTCCTTAGTTCTTTCTCCAGTAAATCCTCTGATGTTTAGTCTTAATTTTAGCCTAAATATTTCTCCACATTTATTGCATCTACAAATTATCTTCTAATATAAACTCTCTAGTGTTTCTTAAGCTGCAGTTTTTGAGCAGATGTTTTTCTACATTTATAGGATTTCGCTCCAATATAAATTCTCTGATGTTGAACAAAGTTTGAGCAACTGCTTCTGTGTCTTCTGCTAGTAAAAAAAAAAAAAAAAAAAAAATGTATACAGTAAGATCCAAGATACAAGTACAGGCACTACAACCGTCTTTATCTTTGTATTGTCTGTCTGAAGAATACTCTTCTTCGCTTTAATGGCCTATACTTTCTAAAAGGCCTTTCAACAGAAATTATACTTATAATGCTTTTGTTAACTGTAAATTCTGATGTCTGGTAAGATGTGAGTAGACATTAATGGCTTTTGTATTTTTATATTTGTACAATTACTCTCACGTGTAAATGCTATCACATGCAAAAAGATATGAACATTGGTAAAAAGTTCTGCCACATTTTTTGTATTTCTAGTTTTCTTTAGTAGTAATTATACACAGTAAGATGTGATGAGAATTTGAAGTCTGCCGGGCACAGTGGCTCACGCCTGTAATCCCAGCACTTGGTGAGGCCGAGACAGGTGGATCACAAGGTCAGGAGATCGAGACCATCCTGGCTAACATGGTGGAACCTTGTCTCTACTAAAAAATACAAAAAATTAGCCTGGTGTGGTGGCAGGCGCTTGTAGTCCAGCTACTCAGGAGGCTGAGGCAGGAGAATGGCATGAACCCAGGAGGCGGAGCTTGCAGTGAGCTGAGATCATGACACTGCACTCCAGCCTGGGGGAGAGAAGGAGACTCCATCTCAAAAAAAAAAAAAAAAGCCAGACACGGTGGCTCACGCCTGTAATCCCAGCACTTTGGGAGGCTGGGCAGGTGGATCACGAGGTCAGGAGATCGAGACCATCCTGGCTACACAGTGAAACCCCATCTCTACTACAAATACAAAAAATTAGCCAGGCATGGTGGCGGGTGCCTGTAGTCCCACCTACTCCAGAGGCTAAGGCAGGAGAATAGCGTGAACCCGGGAGGCGGAGCTTGCAGTGAGCCGAGATTGCGCCACAGCACTCCAGCCTGGGCAACAGAGTGAGACCCCATCTCAAAAAAAAAAAAAAAGAATTTGAAGTCTTTGCCACATTTTAAATTTTCATATGGCTTCTCACCAATGTCATATATCTTATGTTTAGAACAGAGAGATATGGTTAAAAGCTTTCCCACATTTTTCACATTTGTAGAGTTTCTCTCCATTATGAATTATCTTATGATTAGAAAGGATTGAGGAGCATTTAAAGACTGCCACGTTTTTCATATTGGTAAGACATTCCTCCAGTACGAGTTCTCTTATGTTTAAGAATGCTGGAGTACAGCATAAAGGCTTTTCCACATCCTTTACATTTGTATGATTTCATCTCTAGTATGAATTCTCCTATGTACATAAAGGATTCCGGACTGTCTAAAGGCTTTGCCACATTCTTCACATGTGTAGGATTTCTCTCCAGTATGAATTGTCCTATGTTTAATTAGGGTTGTGAAGCTATTAAAGGTTTTATGACATTCTAAATATTTATATGGTTTCTCGCCAGTATGAATTCTCTTACGTTTAGCAGAGTTTGAGGATGACGTAATGACTTTGCCACATTCCTTACATTTGTAGGGGTTCTCTCCATTATGAATTTTCTCATGTTTATTCATGGGTGAGGGCTGTTTATAGGCTTTCCCACATTCTTTGCATTTGTAGGGTTTGTCTCCCATATGAATTTTGTTATGTTCATTCAGGATTGTGGACCATCCAAAAGCTTTGCCACATTCTTCATATTTGTAGAGTTTATTTCCAGTACAAATGTTCTTATGTTCATTCAGGTTTGTGGATCATTCAAAGGCTTTGCCACATTCTTCCTATTTCTAGAGTTTCTCTCCAGTAAAAATTTTATTATGTTCATTAAGATATAAGGGCCACTTAAAGGCTTTACCACATCCTTTACATTTGGGGGTTTTATCTCCAGTATGAATTATCTTACGTTTATTCAGGACTCTGGAATGTCTAAAGGCTTTGCCACACTCTTCACATTTATAAGGTTTCTGTCCAGTATGAATTTTCTTATGTTTACTCAGGTATGTGGACCATCCAAAGGCTTTGCCACACTCTTCACATTTGTAAGGTTTCTCTCCAGTATGAATTGTCTTATGTTTATTCAGGGCTCTGGAACATATAAAGGCTTTGCCACACTCTTCACATTTATAAGGTTTCTCTCCAGTATGAATTTTCTTATGTTTACTCAGGTATGCGGACCATCCAAAGGCTTTGCCACACTCTTCACATTTGTAAGGTTTCTCTCCAGTATGAATTATCTTATGTTTATTCAGGTCTGTGGACCATATAAAGGCTTTGCCACACTCTTCACATTTGTGGGGCTTCTCTCCAGTATGAATTCTCTTATGTTCATTCAGGGTAGTGAACCGACTAAAGGCTTTGCCACATTCTTCACATGTGTAGGGTTTCTCTCCAGTATGAATTCTCTTATGTTTAGTAAGGGTTGTGGACCTATTAAAAGCTTTGCCACATTCCTGACATTTGTAGAGTTTCTCTCTGGTATGAATTTTCTTATGTTTCGCAATGTTTGAGGATGAGGTAATGATTTTGCCACATTCTTCACATGTGAAGGGTTTCTCTTCAGCATGAATTCTCTTATGCTTAATAAGGGTTGAGGACCTATTAAAGGCTTTGCCACATTCTTCATATTTGAAAGATTTCTCTTCAGTATGAACTTTATGTTTAGCAAAGTTTGAGAATGTGGTAAAGATGTTGCCACATTGTTCACATATGAAGGGTTTCTCTCCAGTATGAATTACCTTATATTCATTAAAGACTAAATACCATTTAAAGTCTTTGCCACTTTCTTCACATGTGTAGGGTTTCTCTCCAGCCTGAATTCCTTTATGCTGAGTTAGGTCTGAGAACTTCTGAGATGACTTGCCACATTCTTTAAAGTGTTTCTCTCCAGTATGTCTTGTCTTATGTTGGTTTGAATTTGAAAATTTACTAAACACTATGACATGTGCATTACAGTGAAATATTTTGCTCTGGGTAGTTGACAAGCATTGACTAAATTCATTATAACCTGCTTTCTGCACCTTCCTTTTACAGCCTTTTCTTAATTGTAAATTCTCATGTCCACATTTCTCATATCCTCTCAATATAAGTTTGTGGAATGAATCTTCTATCTCCTGCACTGGCAAAAAGTCTTGGGTGAAATGAGAACACATAGCTGAAAGAAATAAAAATAAACTATCCTGCTTACTAGATTCATATGAATATACTTTAAAAATCTAATATGTAAACTTATACAAAGTATATTAGTAAGATGGCATAACAAAATACCACAGGCCATAATTTCTTCACAGACATACACATGTAACAAACATATACTGATCAAAATGCCTTTTAGTGAAATCTACAAATGAGTTACATGCAATGCCTCAGGTAAGCACAATGCCAAGAGCCACATAGAACAGGAAGGAAGGTTTGTTACATTTACCAACCACAGTTCTTCCTCCTCTCCAATATAGCACTGTGCCATTAGAAGTAAACTGTCAACTCCTGTCTTCTTACTTAAAAGAGAAGAAAAATACTGACACGTATCCTTACTTCTGGCTTTTGGGGATCTTTCAAAAACTGGTTTCTGCCTCCAATAACAAAAGAGTGCTGAAAGAAATGGTGATATACTTTGGAAGGACAGCTTGGGTCTGCTAAGACCAAATGTACATGTTTCAAGAGCAGACTGAAGTGCTAAATACAGACAACAGAGCAAGTGATTAAAGACTCTTAAGAGGAAACATGAACAAACCCTTTCAGCTAAAAAGTAAACACAAAATTCTAGACAAGACACATCCTTCCAACATGTATGAGAGGTTCCCATAATCTGTATCAAAGACAACTGGCTTCAGACTATGTCAGGACAAAGCAACATTATAAAGGTTGTGATAAATAGCTTTTTGTTAATGTTCAAATAACAAGCAAATATTATAATGTATACAAAATATTAGAACATGGTCTGATTAAACAATTTTAAATTTTTCAGAAAACAACATAAAAACAAAGATATACAAATTTTTTAAATGTAACCTGAATAATGCTGAATAAGCTAAATGGAAACACAACAAAATGTAATCAGAAAAATGAGAACATCAATGTAAACGTTAAAAACACAAAAAACAAATCATGAAGGTGAAAAATGCAAAATAAAGACTGAGAAATTTTCAAGTTAAAAAAAGCATGTAGAAAAGGAAGCTCAACAAACTTCAACTAGATTACACACAGATTTACAGCAAAGCACATATATAAGCAAAGTTTCAAAAATCAAACTCAAAAAGGGCATCTTAGAAGCTGCAAAATAAAAGTGATGTGTCATTTATAACTGTGGTCTTCATATAACCAGCAAAACTGTCCTAAAAATGAAGAATAAAGACCTTTCAAGATAACCAAATGCTGAAAAAGTACATTAGCACAACACGTCTTACCAAAACAATGCTCAAGAAAGTACTTCCCATGAAAATAACATAACGCAAGAAAACCAAACATAATCATATGAAAATACATAACTTTCTGAAGATACACACATACACAGTTATGTACCACTATAATATTACAGAAAATATTGTAATCTCTAAAATTGTAGAAAGCATAAAAATAATCATAAACTGTTCATCATAATCTGTTAATATATAACAACAATATGATTACTGACATTAATAATGAAGTTGAGGGCAGATGTAATGAGGAAGAATTTTCAAATTCAACTTAAGTTTTTACCAGTTTAAAATATATTATTTTAAAGAAACTTTATGTAATTCTCAAGATACCAGAAAAAAAGTATCTGTATAGATACACCAAAAAATAAGAAGTAAAGGTATAGCAATACAAAAATAAAAAAGACACTAAGGAAGACAGAAAAAGAAAATAATGGACAAAAATAAAATAATCCAGTAAAACAACAAGATGAGTAAGTCTATTTCAGCAAATTATTCAAATATTTATGAAATAAAGTTTCCATTCAAAATACATGCACCAAATAAGGGGATTGATTGCAAAAATTAAAACACAAGATCCAACTTGCTTTTCTACAGGAGTCACTTGAGATGTAATGATTTTAAAAAGACTGAAAAAGGCAAAATGAAAAGATATTTCATGCAAATAACCAAATAAGAGGTCCAAATTATGTAATACAAAGTACATCTTAAGTCAAAACTGTCCTGTTTCGTAAAATATACTTTAAAAAGTCCTAAGGAGGACATTAAACAATAATAAAATAATAAAAAGGTTCATTTACTGGGAACTAATGACAAATATGTGTACACATATGTTAATATGTGTGTGTGTCTCTCCAACATTGAGTTCCAAATATACAAAGTCAACACTGACAGAATTAAAGCAAGACAAAGAGAGCAATATAATTATAGTAGGATATTTAAATACCCCAGTTTCTGTAAGGAATAATGGAATGAGATAAAATATTCATAAGGAAACAGGAGACTTGAAAGCAGTATCAAACAATTATGCCTAACAGAACTGTAGAGTACACGGCTCGGCAACAACTAAATACACACCCTTCTGAATAGCTCATAGAATATTCTCCTTGATAGACTGCATGTCAGGGCACAAAAAAAGTCTTACAGTTTTTAAAATTGAAATTTTACAGATTACTTTTAATGACCAAACTGGAATCAGAGTAGAAATAAAGAAAAGTAAACAATTTACATATTTATAGAATTTAAACAACATACACTTAAGCATGCTCTTGTTCAAAGTTTGAAATAATGAGGTTGCCAGGCGCGGTGGCTCAAGCCTGTAATCCCAGCATTTTGGGAGGTCAAGACGGGCAGATCACGAGGTCAGGAGATTGAGACCATCCTGGCTAAGGCGGTGAAACCCCATCTCTACCAAAAAAATACAAAAAACTAGCTGGGCGAGGTGGCGGGCACCTGTAGTCCCAGCTACTCCGGAGGCTGAGGCAGGAGAATGGCGTAAACCCGGGAAGCGGAGCTTGCAGTGAGCTGAGATCCAGCCACTGCACTCCAGCCTGGGTGACACAGTGAGACTCCGTCTCAAAAAAAAAAAAAAAAAGAAAGAAATAATGAGGTCTAGACTGCTCAATATAATCTACAGATTAAATGCAATCCCTGGCAAATTTGTAATTAAATTCTTATAATAATAGAAACAGCAACCCCCATATTATATGGAATTAAGAAACAGTGAAGTACCAAACAATCTTCAAAAACAGAAGCAATCTCAGAGGCTTCACAGCTCCTGATTTCAAAACACATGCAAATCTAAAGAATTAAAACAATTTGGGATGGGTATAAAGCTGAACAGCTAGATCAACTAAATAAAATCTGGCAAAAAATATGAACTCTCACACATGGTCATATGAAGAGTAATTTAGACACTCATAATTATTGCAGCATTGTTCCTGAAAGCAAATAAAAGCAATGCAGATTTCTCTCATTAAATTGATAAATATAATTTCAATTATTAAAATAATGAAATATTAGTTTGTAAAAAGCAAAAAATATTCAAACAAGTACAATAAAGATAAATCTTGATGACATTATACCACAAAAAATCACAAAGAGACAAATTGAATCAACTTACATGAGATATCTAAAGCAGTTTGACTTTAAAAATAAAAAATAGAATTGTTTGTATAAAGGGCGAGAAAATAGAAAAAGTACATAGTTAAGATATATTGAGTGTTAGCTTTGCAAGATAAACATTCTAAAAATATAGTGCATAAAACTTAATAAAATGTGACTAAGATGAGTATTTAAAAATATACAAAATTTTAAATATTATACATTTTTTAAAACAAAAATATCTAAAAGAGGTATGAGTTTTGGAAATTATCTTCAAATCACAAAAGTGTTTCTCACACACACAAATATAGATTTACAAATAAATAGAGGGTAAAATTAGGAGAATTTCAATGACTACTCACATAGGCAGGGTAAAACCACCATTGTTACACACAAACAAAATAAGTATACAACTTAAAAACAATATAGACATACACATGGTACCACATCACAATATCCAAAATATTCCAAAAATACTCAAGGAAGGACTTTAAATACATATTTACACATGCATGGTAATTACTATTTATAGAAGACAATTCCTGGAAGCAACACAAATGTCCCTTTAGAGATCAATATTTTTAAATGTGACATACATACAATATTTATTTTAAAACAGATATTCTGACACATCTTTGTGGAGGAGAAGTTAAATATTAAATTTGAACTCAACTGAACATGACATAAACAATGGTCACCAAATCCCAGAATGGGTTATGTGAGCCCCTTGAGATGTTCATCCAGCACTGTTTCAAAGGAATTTCTACTTCAATCTATTTCTATGTGTTAGTTATTGAAAAACAATAGACAATCACAAAAACAAATTGACCTTTTTGTGTTCCTTGAGTCCAGTCACAAAGGGCCCTGACTGGGCCTCGTGCCAAACAACTCATTACAAAAAGAGCTAGGGTCCCAGACCACGCCGAAGCAAATGAGACCTCTCTTCATCTGTGCACGGATGGGTGGCGAACTCTGGAGCCCAAGCTGTTGCTTCCTGGTCTGGTGGTGAATCTTCCATAGTCCGAGTATGGTGCCTGACTCTGGAGCCCAGGCTATTGCTTCCTGGTCTAGTGGTGAATCCTCCATAGTCTGGTGAATGTAAATATATGTATCTCCTTTTTCTTCTCCCCTTCCCATTGTAATTTGTTTATTATATCATTTGCTTATATATCTTCATTGCCGTTTACATGGGATAAAGGCTGTTTACCCTTAAAGGTATTGTGTGTGTGTGTGTGTGTGTATGTGTGTGTCTTTTCTTCTCCCCTCACGCATTTCCCACGCAGGACAATCTTACAAAAACAAAGCCTAAGAACATTATCTGAAGTAAAATGAGATAGTGAAAAAAAACAGACATGGGGGCCTGGCACGGAGGCTCACGCTTGTAATCCCAGCATTTTGGGAGGCCAAGGAGGGCGGATCACGAGGTCAGAAGATTGAGACCATCCTGGCTAACATGGTGAAACCCCATCTCTATTAAAGATACAAAAAAAAAAAATTAGCAGGGCATGGTGGCAGGTGCCTGTAGTCCCAGCTACTAGGGAGGCTGAGGCAGGAGAATGGCATGAACCCGGGAGGCGGAGCTTGCAGTGAGCCGAGATCACCCCACTGCACTCAAGCCTGGGCAACAGAGCGAGAT